ACACGCCAGCAATGAAAAGAGAAAGCGACACTAAAAGCGACCGACACATGGAAGAAAAAAAATAGAGGATTTTCGAAGCAAACGGGGGAACGGCTACTAAATAGAGCGCAACCAACGAAGCATAGAAAGTCGCTTACACAACACTAAATATAAAAGGGAAAAATTTGCAACCAACCAAAAGTCAAGCAAGAAGAGACTCTCTCTGCAAAACAGAGAGCCGCCGCTCCCCTTGCGACCCCTCCCTCCCCCCCCGATCCATGGATAGGCAAGAACAAATCTCAAGCTGAGGGCGACTCACAGCGGTTCACAAACAGTAAAGACAATAAAAACAGCAATAGTTTCATACAACAATGACAATTGATTTAACACATTCTCCATTAATAACTAACAAGCAATCCCAATACACAATATTACAAAAAACAACCGTACCCAATCTTCTCATCATCCAAGCGTAGTCCAGGTTAGTCGTCCATTGTTCCATTCCTATGTTCCATTACCAGATTACACTAAATTACTCAAATGCCTGCACAAACATCCAGGTCTTCAACTTTCTTTGGAATGCCATGAGAGATGGCGCCAGCCTAATGTCCGTAGGAAGGGCGTTCCACAGCCGAGGAGCCACCACCGAGAAGGCCCTATCCCTCGTCCCCGCCAACCGTGTTTGAGAAGCAGGCGGGATCGAGAGCAGGGTCTCCCCGGAAGATCTCAAAGTCCTGGTGGGTTCATAGGCTGAGATGCGGTCAGATAGGTATCTTGGGCCGGAACCGTTTAGGGCTTTATAGGCCAATACCAACACCTTGAATTGGGCCCGGTAGCAAATCGGCAGCCAGTGGAGCTGGTGCAACAGGGGGGTTGTGTGCTCCCTGCGCTCCACTCCTGTTAAAATCATGGCTGCCGCGCGTTGGACTAATTGCAGCTTCCGGGCCGTCTTCAGGGGCAGCCCCACGTAGAGAGCGTTGCAGTAGTCTAGGCGGGATGTGACAAGAGCGTGGACTACCGTGGCCAAGTCAGACTTCCCAAGGTACGGGTAGAAGGGATAATAACGGCATCAGAGAATCCTAAGCGTTGGAAGGGGCCACCAAAGGCCATCCAGTCCGACCCCCACTCTTACGGGATAGAAATAAAAATGTTGAATGCCTTCCTCTAATAATAATAATAATAATAATAATAATAATAATAATAATAATAATAATAACAACAACAACAACAACAACATAATATAAAGTAATACTAATACAATATTATATAATAATAACAATAATATGAAATAATAACAATGCCAATTTAATTATATTAGTTTATATTAATATGTTATTATTATACTAATATTTTTTATTATTTTATACTAGTCTGTATTATCTTGTTTTGTATTATGTCATTACAATATTATTTTATGTGATGATATATAATAAAACACTAACGTAATGACATAATATACAAAAATATATAAATACAAAAATAATATATAACATAATTATTACATTATTACTTTGTTATGGTATCATATTAGTATTTTATTATACTATGTAAAATTACATAAAATAATATGACATAATGAAAGCAACATATAATACAAAATAATGCAAAATATTAATATAATATTAAAATACTAATATAACATAATGCTATATTATTTTGTATTATTATATACTGCTTTAATTATGTAACTACATTATTATTTTATGTAATTATACATATCTAGCTGTCCCCTGTCAAACGTTGCTGTGGCCCAGTCTGTGTATATGTGTTGTGTGTGTGTATATATTTGTGCATGTGTTTCCGTATGTGTGTATATATGTATGTACACATATATATATATACATGCATATTGTGTATATGTGTGTGCTTGTCTATATGCATATTTGTGTGTATATGTATATGTGTCCATGTGTATTTGTATATATGTATTTGTGCATGTATATATGTATATGTATGTATGTGTGTGTGTGTGTGTGTGTGTGTATGAATATGTGCATGTGATTAAGTATATGACTGTATGTGTATATGTATATATTGTGTATTGGGGGGGGTTAAGTCTGTTCCACTGGGGGTTTTGTGTGTGTGTGTGTGTGTGTTTAGGGGTGATGGACACTTATTGGCCTGAGAGGTGTCTTGTGTCCAAATTTGGTATCAATTCGTCCAATGGTTTTTGAGTTATGTTAATCCCACAAATGAACATTGCATTTTTATTTATATAGATGTGTGTGTGTATATTTGTGTATACTGTATGTGTATATATGTTGTTTTGCGCACGCGTTGCAATGCATTTTTTATTTTTGGGGGGCTTTTTAAGTCCCTTCTGTTGTGTTTTCCAGTGTTTTTATGAGTGATTGTCACTTGTTGTCATGATAGGTGTATTGTATCCAAATTTATAAGATACTAATATGATATCATAACATAAAATAATAATGACATAATAATAATAATAATAAGATGATGATGATAACAATAACAACCCATCTCTGTATCTGGCTGCTTCTGTCCCCATTCGTTTCCTGGGTTTTGTTTTTGGAAACGTCCACGTTTCATCTTCTGTATCCCTTCTCAATTAGTAAATTATTTCCTCAAGCGTCTTAATATGAAAATAGCAGGATAGAAATAATAATAACAATAATAATAATAATAGTCTATTAATCTACTCAAAAACAGACAATAATAATGTTCATAAAATATGATCGTGGTAATAATAATAATAATAATAATAATAATAATAATAATAAATTAACTCACTCAAAAACACAGACAAAATAGTGTTCTTAAAATATGGTGGTAACAATAATAATAATAATAATAATAATAATAATAATAATAATAATCTATTAACCCGCTCAAAGTAGAGACAAAAATAGCATTCTTAAAATAGAGTAATTTAATAGGGTCGAGTAACAATATTATCTCT